TTGATCTTTTCTTGGCATTTAACCTGTTCAGTAGGCTCTTAGCTCCCTGGACTTGTGATTTGGTGTCTGACATGTTGGGAGAAATTCTGAGTCATTAGTGCTTCAAACATTGTTTCTGTCTTTTACTTCTCTTTTTTTCTTCTCTTGCTGTCATTGACATTACATGTGTTACCTATTTTGTATTCATCCTACAGTTTTCAGATATTCCTTTCTGTTTTTTTTTCTTAGTTTTTTTTTTCTTTTTGCTTTTCAGTTATGGAAGTTTCTTTTTACATATCTTCAAGGTCATAGATTCTTTCCTCAGTTGTGTTTAGGTACTAATATGTCCACCCATGGCACTCTTCATTTGTTTACAATTTTTCAATCTCAATCATTTCTTATTTATTCCTTCTTAGATTTTCCATCTCACTGTTCATATCACCCAGATGTTATTGTTTATTATCTCCTTTTTCCATTAGAACCTTTACCATATTAGTTACCATTACTTTAATTCACCTTTAGGTAGTGCCAATGTCTCTGCTATATTTGACTCTATTTCTTATGCTGTTCATTACCTTCAAAAATGTGCTTTTACCTATTAGCATGCTTTGGAATTATTTGTTGAAAGGTTATAATGATACATGGGGTAAAAGGAATTTTAGTAAATAGGCTTTTAGAAAGATAGTGGTAGTTTATAGGGATAAAGACTGTAATCTACTGTCCTGTGATTTCATCTCAATCTTTGCTGAACCTCTGCTTAGACTGTGAAATTCAATAGTGTTTCTCAGGTTTGTTTTTCCTCTTTTGAGGATGAGATGTCTAGAGTGGCCAGAATTGAGTATTTCCCCTTCATTTATGAGGAAGTTTAGAGTTGACAGGAGCTGGATATTTCTATCCCCTCAGGTATGGTAGAGGGCAGACCTTGTTAAAAACAATGTTCTGGAATAATTCAAAATGGTTTCTTTGAAATTCTCATTACCTTCAGTAGGAGGAACCTTTCCTCTCATATTTAGTATAAGGGCCTGATAATGTTCCTGAAGGGAAAACCCATAAAAATGTAGGGTTCTCACTATGACTGAGCTTCTCTTCAGCTTAACTATCAGATTTGCCAACACTGAGTTTATATACTGTCAGTTTCAGGATTTCCTAACAAGGCAGTGGTTTCTACAGAGGATTTTGTGCATGAGTTTCTGCTCTAGAAAGTTACTGCTTTCTGTATCTCCTTGTCTCTACAAATATTTTTCTAAAGATTTATTTATTTATCCATACAGAACTGGGGTACAGGCTAGAGGTGCAGAGGCGGTGAGAGGCTTCACCAGAGACGTAGTGGGCAGCAGAACAGGCAGATCGAGGAAGTACCCTGCTGAGGGGAGCAGCGGGTGGGTCAGGAGAGGTCTGCCTGCCTTGTGGATCACCTCTGGGGCGGCGGGGATGAACTCACCCTGAAGTGGCTTTAGCTTCTCAGTGCTGTGCTTTAACCTGCTGAGCCACAGGGTGGGCCCTGTCTTTACAAATTTAGGGGTAGTAGGTTACCCTGTGACTTCACTTATATTATGACTCCAAGAACACTTGTTGATTTTTTGTTAGCTCAGTTTTCTATTTGTTTTTAGCATTAAGTGGTGACTTCTAAAATATTAACATGTTAGACAGAAAACTGTAATCAAATCCTGAAGTCTAGTTACTGGATGAACATTTTCTGATATTCCAAAGAACAGGGCAAGAGTGTGAGGAAAGAGCTGCAGTGAGGATGTGGGAATAAGCTCAGACAGATTCCAGCGGTAGTAATGAACTATGAGAAGAAGGGAAGGGTGGGGGACAAGAGAGCCAAGGACGTTACAAGGGGCAGTTTGGGAATTGGAGCCCCTTTGGTGTGATCAAGGATACAGGTAATTATAAAAATAATGTGGGGAATAAAAGGAAACATCTTAGAGATCTACATTATTTTTGTCTTTCTGAAATAGATGGTTGTAAAAAATATGGAAGGGATCTGGACAGATGGGTGCTGAGTATTTTTAAGAGTTACATATGCATATTACATATATACCTCTTTTAGTAAACTCTCTAAGAAAAGTAGGTCTATTATCATGTAGAACAAATAGCAAATTTTTCCTGCATTGTTGGGCTTCCTCAGGCTTGCATTTTAATGGGAAATTGGGATCCCTGGGGAACTGGGAGGCCTTCTAGAGGCAGGGCAAGTCTCGGTCCAGGGTTTTGTATAAAGTTACATGCTGAGAGTTCTTATTAGCTCCTTTTCTACAATCTCTCTGCTCCTCCACATTTTTATAGTTACTGTTTTTATCCCAGCTGCTATGCTATCTGTTCTAGATAATTGAAATAACCTCCTAAATGATTGTCCTACAGTACTAACTCTAAAATAGTTGGGAGTGAGTGGAATAATCGTAATGAATCATCTCATCCCCCCCACACACAAATCAATTTAAGTATTATGTGCTTGCCATGCATAAAAGCCATAATTATACATACCCTCCAATTTCCATGATTGCCAGACTTCAGCTGTGAAGTATCTCCCTAAACCATTCTTTTATTGATTTACCTACACACACACACACACACACACACACACACATGTCCCTCCCTGGTGGCAAAACAGGTAAGAGTGCAGCACTGTGAAAGCTATCTGCAGTTACTGCAGCATGAATTCAGTCCCTGGCCAGGGAGGTGACCCACATAGCATGGCAGACCTCTCCTGTCCTGCTCACTCCTCCCCTGAGCACTGCATTTCAGTCAATCTGCCTATTCTGTTGCCCACTCTGTCTCTGGTAAATCCTTTCACCCCCTGTACCTCTGACCTACAACCCAGTTCTTGTATGCATGAATAAATAATAAATCTTAAATAAATAATAAAATATACCATTCCTATTAGTCTTCTTTCTCCCTCTTACAAACCATTCATCCTCCCTACAGCTAGGTGGGTGATCTTTTTAAGCACAAATCAGAAGAGATTATTACTCTACTTAAAACTCCTCCCATAACTTAAGGAAACCTTTAAGGTGAACACAAGAACCTTTAAGATGTGACCTATAGCAACATCTCTAGCCATATTTCTTTATTCACTCTTACTACCTCCCTCAGGGGCCAAGAAGAACATGTGAAGAAAGGGAGAGAAGAGGATAAAGAAGAAAAGGGAGAGAAGTCGTATGATGAAAACAGGGACTGGAAAGAAGGAAGGAAAATGGGAAACAGGAGGAGTAAGGATAGCATGATGGGAATGAAAGAAAGGGACTTGAAAAGCTTGAGGAACTAAAATTAAGAGTTGATTCCACAAGAATGATGCAATAAGAATGACTTCTTGGTGCAATGCATTCCTACATGGCCTAGAGGTTAAGATTCTGGCTTCCACTTAGGTTGCCAGATCCCCGCTGATCCCAACCCCTCATTAGAACGCAAGTCTGATAAAGTCCAACAATGCAAGGAAAATTTGTTATTTGTTCCACCATGATAACAGGCCCCTTTCTTTTCCTGAGAGTATTCACTGAACAAGTTATTACAGTTGTGAATATGTAAATCTTAGAATTCACAGTATCTTTCTCAAGGACCTGGCTGCCATTCCTTTTAAGTGTAATAATCATCAGGGAGAAGAGGTCTCTTTCTCCCAGTCTGTGTAAACAGATTCTTTCCTTTGGTCACTGTTGGCTGGCAAACACATTTGTGTTAATAGCATTTAAGCTGACCAATCTTTAGTTAATTTTTGCTTCTCTGATGCTACTGAGCTCCACTCCTAACCACACTCATAGTCCTTTTAAAAAGTCTACATACATCTGTACAACCTGAAATATAGTCCAGCTTTTTCCCCTACTGTCAGTTGTTATTGAATGAAGCTTATTTCCAGATCTTTAACTCAGGCTGTGTTTTTCTTTGAAAATAATCATGGTTTAGATTTACCATATTATATGGCAGGCAATGAGTCTAAAGTGATCTAGTCTGGGACTTGGGATCTACCATCCCTCAAGACAAACCAAAAATAGGAGTTGTTCTGGAGGCAGTTAGTGAGGAAGAGGAGGTGATTACCAAGTTATAGCTCTAAGGACATCATGATTAGCCTAAATCTTTCTTGTGGCATGGCAGTGTGGTGAGAAGGGCTCATGTGGACTGTAAATGGAGAAATCAGTACTGTTTCCATCCAATTTCTCTTCCCTTGTCTTTTTCCTCCCTCCAGCCCTCCCTCCTTTTCTTTCTTATCCAGTAACATATACACATAGTTTAAACACACACACACACACAAACCTTTTATAGCATAAAAGAGGTTAAGGTGTATATTAACAGTCCCCCTCACTTCCTATCCCTTGCCCTGCTCCAGAAGCAATCCCTGTGAAGTCTTTGAGCTGTTTTATTCTCCCTCGTGTTTTCAAGCGGTCTCTACATTTGAATGTGACATGTATACCTACCAGTAGTCCCAGAGTCATCAATTCTAGACTTTATCTATTGACTTTTCCCTACCGGTATTTGAGAATTTCTTTTCCTTACTCCAATTTTAAACAATGGGAGATGGGTGTGTCGTGAAATTCCTGATGAATCCTCTGATCCTAGCCATAACTTTTATAGTGCTCTTACTATTTGAAAAAACACAGTTGCAATCACTGTGGCTGTATTAACCCCACAAGCTCAGTTACAGGGAGTAATAGCTTTTTTAAAAAACCAGAAAGAGAAAGATTTTAAAACAAAGGATAAAGGCAATGCTAGGAGTTCCGTACAGAAAACCGTTATGAGTGAAATAGAAGTAAAAAAGGCTTTCTTTAGGACTGCAATTGCACCCGTCTCCTTTAATTCTCCGTGGCTGGCATTATATCCAAGCCCGCCCACAAGGAAAGCGCCCACCGGGTGTCTGGCACCCTAAGGGACTACAGCATAGCGTCAGGGTCACATGACAACTACCGGAGGCACTCTTTCTGGGAACAGTCTCTATGGTATCCTTCCCAGCCCTCCGGCCCCTAGGGTAGCAGCAGTCACGTGACACGGTTCAGTCTGGACCACGTGATCCTGGCCAGCAGTCTGGTGGCTGTGGTGAGGTACCTGGGCTTCTGAAGGGCGGGCGGATAGGTCTTAACCGCCGCCGCTAGCGACTCTCCTGCGACGAGGCCCAGGAGCAAGAAGCAGGTGGAGCGTTCAATGCCTGCAGCATTGATCGGCTCTTTCTGCCATCTCGGACTTCGCCTTTCTCACCTCTTTGCGGTTTAAGTTACCTTTGGGTTTGGAGACCTTGGGGCCTGAGGCTCACCCTCGAGGCCACCCTCCCCCCTCCATCCCGTTCCCTCTCATCCTCCATCTTTCATTTGCATCACTGAATCATCGCCTTTGTGCTAGCCACCTGAGCCGTGCCTGGAGGCCAGGTTCCAGGCTGCAAAGGTAACTGGGGAAAGCAGCCCCCCAGTGGACAAAGACGAAGGCAAGGCAAGAATAGAGCTGGCCTGAAAGTCGCAGTCGATGGGAATAGGCGATTAAGTGGGTGAACGTCGAAAAAAAAGAAAAAAAACAGTACTGCGGATTTAGAAGGACTGGAAAGGACTTGTTGCACAATGGAAGAATCTGACTCTGAGAAAAAGATGGAGAAAGAGACTATGGGGCCGAGAATGGATCCTCCCATAGGGGAACCAGAAGGATCGCTAGGGTGGGTGACGGGTCTAATTTTAAACTTGTAAGTGGGGTGGGGGGAGTACTGAACCGAAGTGAACTGTGAATTAGAACACCCCTCTCCTCCATGATAAATTGCTTTAACTTACCAGTAAGATTGATTGGCACCATGCATTTGGCGACAAGATAAACTGGAACAGGACTGCTTATTAGCTGGCTGAAACAACCCTTGGGAGAAATTGCAGGTCAGCCCTGGGTGAGGGGTGTTCTAATTGAGGGGACAGTGCTTAGTCGCTTTGAATTATCAGTGTAAAGGAGATTTTACATTGTGCTGATGCTGAGGAGAGTAGGAATGGATTTGGCTTTTCCTAGGCAGAGATCATTGATGTGAGTTTTCTGTGCTAGTTTTTACCTGACTTTGCCACTTGTTTTAATATTTTGTACCTGAATTTGATACTTTCATCTTATATACTGTGTGCATATTGTGAGTGAAATATGACTTGGAAGGGCAACTGAAGATTAAACATACTTCCAAATTCTAAAAATTAACTGATTTTTTAAAGAGGCATTTAAATATTGTTTAATTTATTGAAGCACTTGTATTATGTTGTTTTGATAAACTTATTAAGGTGATGAAAAATTGTATATTGAATCTTAATGACACATTTATATTCCTAAATAAATCTAGGAGCTATCTCCTGAGCACATAATTAGGGAGTAGGGATCATAAACCCAGCTTTATAATTTACTAAAATGAGAACCTCTACTCAATTGAGGTTTCACATAGTGCAATATTCTGCTATTGTGGTAAACATGCTCTTTTGTACCTCCATGTTTGTTTATTTCTTTAATTCTAAGGCAAGTCGATCATGGAAACTGTCTTTTGATTTACATCTGCAGGTGGGTGCTACCAAATACAGCTATGAAGAAAAAGGTAAGACGTGTTAGGTACATCAGAAACATGAAGGTGAAGGTAAGATGATCAGAAAATTTCTTTTCAGGAAGCTTCTACGTATTATTTCTGACCTTTGTCCCTTTCTTTGCTAGCATATTTACATTTTCTACTCGATAAATCCAACCCAGTTATTCACATACTTAAAACGTTTTGTACCTCTTCCCCTCAAGGCTCATAGTATTAAATATTAAAGACTTCATCACAGGGGGTATTCTTTAAAACTCTATCCATAACGAAACCATCTACTTCACCTAAGTTCCCTATAGTAACCATCCAAAATCTGGTTTTCTTCAAATTTGTAAATTCAGTTGCCTTTTGTACAAGCCATACACACACACTGCACAAGCCTCTGCTTGCACATTTATGTTGAATACAACTCAAATGTTAATCACTGTGTCGTTTACATGAGTTCCCCAGTTGGAATTGAGCACTCCTTCCTGTTGGTTGCTCTAATGGTACTTCCAGATTGCCTATGCCAACCTAAGGCCTCCCCTTGCGATTTAGGGCACAGCTCTGGAAAAAATTTCTCAACCTTTTGGGGTTTTCAGTTTCTTCCTTTGTAAAATGATGATAGTGATATTGCCTCTCTCATATGGTTGTTATGAAGTTTAAATGAGCAAATGCATGTATGTAGAGCACTTAGCACCCAGCAGTCTTATTAAGCCTTTCATACGCAATTGAGGAAAGATTTATTAAATTAAGAAAATAAAACTCACCATATATAGCCTTAACTTGACCTGATGGTTTAGTTATATAACTCCATTTTGCTAAGGGAATATCTTAATAAGCTTATCTAAACTAAATTACATGATTAAGAATAAAAACTTTTTGTGAGAACTTCAGTTTATATTCCTTATTGCGAGAAAGTTATTTGTCTCAATAGCTAGATTAAATGAAGGCTGAAGTCAGTGTGCTTTCATTAATACTCCCTTTATTTGGAATTAGAATTTTTAGAAAAGATTTATTCATTTATTTGTACAGAACTGAGGTACAGGCCAGAGATGTGGAGGGTGAGAGGATTCACCAGAGACAGAGTGGGGAGCAGAACAGGCAGATCGGGGAAGTACACT